GCATGCCTGTCATCCCAGCTACTAGGGAGGCTAAGGCAGGAGAATCGCTTGAACCTGGGAGGCGGAGGTTGCAGTGAGCTGAGATCACACCACTGCAAAAAAGAAACCCAAAATAAGTAAAAATAAAAATGATCTACATAGGCTGAGATATGGTTTAGAAATGGAAGCCAGATCAAATCCAGTTTTAATGGGAGGGCAAGGAATGGAGCCCTAAGGAATGTGGCGGAGAAGCAAGCGGGCCAGGCTGTGGCCGTGCTCTTGGGAAGCGTTCTTAGCACTGGGATAGCTCCTGAGATACTGTAGACCTTAGGAGGACGTCCTTAGAGCCAAAAATTAACATTCTAAAATTAGGACATTCTTCCGGATGCCAGTCGAGGTGTCAGCCTGGCCTCTGAACTGTCCCGGGGGCAGGGATTGAGAGCCACATTCATAGGAGTGTTTTGTCGCATCTGTCGGGGACCAGGTAGTGATGGGGTCTGTCCTTTCCCTTCCAGCTGTCCATCATCAGGGCTCGGCCTCAGCACCCTCCACCTCCAGGTCCTACACAACGGGTTCGGCTTCCACCCACAAACGCCCCTCTGCCACCCTCATCGCCCGGGAGCTGCTCCGCACCCAGGGCCTGGCTGGGCTCTACAAGGGCCTGGGTGCCACCCTCCTCAGGTGAGCCTTTCTTCCGGTTCCCTAGGACAAGTGCATGGGGGAGGGCATGAGGGCCGGAGAGCTGGCTGTCCCTATCTGCCTCTGTGTCCTTCCCAGAATATCCAAACCCAGGTGAGCAGATGATTTCCGTGCTTCCTGTTTTGTCCAGAACTGGCCAGGGTGGCACAGAATGGGTACCTAGAAGACTGAAGTTTTAGGCCCCTTGCATAGCGATGACCAGGCCCACAAGAAGGCCGCGTGTTTTGTGGCCCAAAGGCACCTAAGAAAGCCCTGTCTACGGAGGACCGCGGAGTTCCTAGTAAACGGGTGGCCGTGCCCCTCATCTTCCCTTGGCCTGCCTGCCCCTGCACAGAACACGTTTCCAGCCTCGGACTTGCCTCTGGCAGTCAAGAGGCTGCAGGTGCTGTAGGGCAGAGGAAGGAGCTGGGAGGGCAGGACAGATGGCAATAGCCCTTTTGTCCCCTGCTGTCCCGGGCACTGAAGAAGGGGTGAGTCCCAGCGGCTTCTCTGTGAGCCCCATAGCTGACAGCAAAGCTCATTGTCTCACCTCGGGCGGCAGCCCCAGGGCGGCTTGGAGCTCAGAGTTTCTCCTCCCTCGTCTGCAGAGATATCCCCTTCTCCATCATCTACTTCCCACTGTTTGCCAACCTTAACCACCTGGGGTTCAACGAGCTCGCCGGTAAGGCGTCCTTTGCGCATTCCTTCGTGTCAGGCTGCGTGGCAGGTTCCGTAGCTGCGGTCGCAGTGACGCCTCTAGATGGTAAGGAGGTGGGAGACGTGTCCTTTCTATGGGATGAACAGTAATTTTGCACTTCCAGCCCGACCCTGGAAGCCGTCTGGGGTTGCAATCTGGCTGCTGGCAGAGGCTCATTAGAGGCCCTTCCGGAGAAAGTGGGCCCAAGAGACTTTCCCTCTGTTTCTCATCCCTGACACATCCCCTCACCCTCCAGATTCCTTTAGCTTTTCATCCCCTCAGAAGAGTTGTGAGCCTCAGCTGTAAATTATTGCTGATCTTTCAAAATGTGGGGTTGGCCGGGTGTGGTGGCTCACGCCTGTAATCCCAGCACTTTGGGAGGCCGAGGCGGGTGGACCACCTGAGGTCAGGAATTCGAGACCATCCTGGCCAACATGGTGAAACCCCGTCTCTACTAAAAATACAAAACAAATTAGC